AACACCAAGGGCGCGTTGGTGCTCCACGAGCATAGTCCAGGTCTCGTGACCGTAGAGGACCACCGGTCTAATCAGCGTCTTGTTGACAGTCAACTTCGTGCGGTGGCGAATTTTATTCGACCGGAGCGTCCTCCGGAGTCCAAAGTAGGCACGATTCCCTGCCATAATGCGTCTTTGAATTTCTCTGCTGGTATCATTTTCGGCGGTCACCAGTGAGCCCAAATACACGAACTCATCGACCAACTCGATTTTGTCACCGTCAATCTGAACTCGGGGTGGGAGGCTAACATTGTCTTTCCTAGAACCTCTTCCTTTTATGTATTTTGTCTTTGATGCGTTGATGCCAAGTCCAACTGTCTACACGGATAGAAATCTCCTTATACCTTTTGGCAAATTTCCATTGCTGATTATTCATAAAATGTATAAGTCAACTAATAAGCAGACGCCTTGCAAAAAGTTAATAAAGATCATGTGTCAAATGAAATGTATAAGCGGTCACACATACCTTTCATGCATTCTAATAGGACCTATGTGGTTTTTTTATGGAATGTATAAGGCTGATGCTTTGGCAAAAATGTATAAGTGAAACATATGAATTAAATAATTGATTTTCGTTTCGTGTAGCTTCAGCCTTCAGTCTGATGTACGTTTTTGCCATCATCTCAAAGTTTCGTGTCATAATGTCAATGTCATCGGCAGTGTTCGGAAAATCATTTTCAAATCTCATTCATTGAGCCTCCCTGCGAGAATAAACTCGCGTGTGAATGCGGCAAACAAAATTCACGCTTGAGATTCTCATGCATATTCACGCACTCACACTCACAACGCCGAAAAATCATTCCAGCTTTAAACTCATAAAAACCAATCAAACGTCAATTGATATCATGCCTATGCATTTTGTGTTAGTTTTCCAACCCCTGACGCACAAACAATAGTAATAACAATGAATAACGCAAAAATATAAAGCAATGAATTTTTGAACCTGAAAACTCATCGGTGATTTTTGCGACGTTAAATTTTGCAAGGCAAAACTCATAGGCGCCTAAACTCATGCATGAGATTTGAGTTTTTGAGTTTTTCCGAACACTGCACAGTGGTACAGAATGCAGATTTAGGTGGAATAATATGTTTTGAGCCTGAAATTGAAACTTTAGACTAAAAGTTTCTTCTACAAAGTTGTTCCTTATAGTTAGGCCCTCATTTTTATCACAATGAATTCTAGGGTGGTTCCTATTATCATTAAAATCAAAAATCTAACTTTTTTGTTTGAATAAATTAAGGTATACATTCTTCGGCAAAGTTATAGCTGAGCTAATTTCAAGCAACTTTGTTGAAAATAACTTTTTTGTATCTCTTAAATTGGCCGATTTAGAGCTATTTTCTTGAATTGAGTTAGGGTGGCTCTTAAAAAAACAGGTTTTTTGCTCTATTTTTCTTATTTCGAATTTCTCGAATTATTGAGAATAACATACGCCCTTTCAAATGCCGCAAAAAAACTTTTTTTTTGTTTGCCCCAACCAGAGATATTAACATTTGAAAAGTGCATATTTTTAGTATAAAAACGTCAATAACTCTTGATCGGCGAAAGATATTGACAAGCTTTCTGCAGCAAAAATTTGCGCCTTCTTAAGATCTAAAAGTTATCTGAAGACTTCTTTGCTGAGAAATTCGAAATAAGAAAAATAGAGCAAAAAACCTGTTTTTTTAAGAGCCACCCTAACCCAATTCCAGAAAATAGCTCTAAATCAGCCAATTTAAGAGATACAAAAAAGTTATTTCCAACAAAGTTGCTTGAAATTAGCTCAGCTATAACTTTGCCGAAAAATGTATACCTTAATTTATTCAAACAAAAAAGTTAGATTTTTGATTTTAATGATAATAGGAACCACCCTAGAATTCATTGTGATGAAAATGAGGGCCTAATTATAAGGAACAACTTTGTAGAAGAGACTTTTAGTCTAAAGTTTCAATTTCAGGCTCAAAACATATCATTCCACCTAAATTTGCATTCTGGACCACTGTGCACTGGTCATTGGCGAAACCAAGGAGCTGGCTGGACTTCCTGAATATTGTGTCACTCGTGTCTATCCCAGCTCTTCTGATCACTCCTTCTAACGCGATGTTGAACAGCAGACACGGAAGTCCATCACCTTGCCGTAACCCCCTTCGATATTCAAAGGGACTCGAAAGTGTCCCCGATACTCAAACAACGCACATAACTCGATCTATCGTTGCCTTGACCAATCGCGTCAGTTTGTCCGGAAATCCGTACTCGTGCATAATCTGCCATAGCTGATCTCGAACGATTGTGTCGTATGCGGATTTGAAATCGGTAATCAAATGCTGTGTGGGCACGTTGTATTCGCGGCACTTCTGCAGAACCTGCCTAATCGCGAAAATTTGGTCCGTGGTAGCAAGGGCACCCATTTATCCCGCCTGGTATTGCCCCACGAACTCTCTTGCAAATGGTGACAGACGGCGGCATAGAATTTGGGAGAGTACCTTGTAGGCGGCGCTCAGCAGTGTGATCGCGCGGTAGTTGCAGCAATCCAACTTGTCGCCCTTTTTGTAGATTGGGCATACGACACCTTCCATCCACTCCTCCGGTAATATCTCCTCCTCCCAAATCTTGACAATTACCCAGTGCAGCGCTCTAGCCAGTGCTTCACCACCGTATTTTAATAGCTCACTTGGTAGTTGATCTACACCAGTTGCCTTGTTGTTCTTCAGCCGATCGATCTCCTCCTCAACTTCTTGAAGATCAGGGGCCGGTAGCCTGTCGTCTTATGCGCGTGCTCCAAGGTCTGTTGCCGTGCCACCTTCGTTTTCTGCTGCTTCACCGTTGAGGTGCTCGTCATAGTACTGCTTCCACCTCTCAATCACCTCACACTCGTTCGTGAGAAGGTTACCGTCCAAGTCCTTGCACATATCGGCTTGCGGCACGTAGCCTTTGCGCGAACTATTTAGCGTCTCATAGAACTTCCGTGTGTCGTTTACGCGGTACAGATTTTCCATCGTCTCGCGATCTCGGTCTTCCTGCTGATGCTTCTTACTTCGGAAAACCGTGTTTTTTCTATTCCGCGCTTGTCTGTATCGCTCCACATTCAATCTCGTGCGGTGTTGCAGCATTCTCGCCCGTGCTGCATTCTTCTCCTCTACTAACAGTTTGCATTCGCCGTCAAACCAGTCTTTTCTTCGGTCCGGGATTGCAGTACCTAGTGCCGATGCAGCAGTACTACCGTACTACCTATGGCGGAACGGATTTCCCTCCAGCCATCTTCAAGAGAAGCTGCGCCAAGCTGCTCTTCAGTGGGTAGTGCAACTTCCAGCTGCTGCGCGTAGTCCTGGGCAACTCGGGCGTCCCGTAGTTGCTCATTGTTGGGTTGCGGCGTTCGACTTCGACGTGTGTTATGCACCGTTGAGAGTTTTGAGCGCATGCACACTGCAACTAGGTATTGGTCCGAATCTATGTTCGCGCTGCGGTACGTGCGGACATTGATAATGGCGGAGAAGAATTTCCCGTCGATTAGAACGTGATCGATTTGGTTTACTGTGTGTTGGTCAGGTGATCTCCAGGTGGCTTTGTGGATATCCTTGCGGGAAAAAAAAAGTACTTCGAACTACCATACCCCGAGAGGCTGCAAAGTTCACGCATCGTTGGCCGTTGTCGTTCGATACGGCATGCAGGCTGTTTGGCCCGATTGCCTCCCGTCCTACCTGAGCGTTCATGTCGCCGATGACGATTTTTTGTCCCTTTGCTTACAGCCGTCGTACACCTGCTCCAGCTGCGCATAGAACGCTTCTTTCTCGTCGTCGGGTCTCCCTTCGTGTGGGCAGTGCACGTTGATGATACAATAGTTGAAGAAACTTGCACATCCTCGCGTTGATCGGCTGCCAACCAATCACGCGTTGGTGCAACTTACCCAGCACTACAAAGCCGGTTCCCAGCTCGTTGGTGGTGCCACAGCTCTGGTAGAAAGTAGCCGCTCGATGCCCGCTTTTGCATACCTTTTATCCCGTCCAGCAAAGTTCCTGCAGTGCTACGACTTCGATGTTGCGTGGTTGAAGTTCGTCATAGATTAACCTATCGCAACCCGGGAAGCCGATCGATTTGCAGTTCCATGTTCCGAGTTTCCAATCGTAGTCCTTATTTCGTCGTGTAGGTCTGTGCCAATTATTCCGATCCGTATTTCTTCCTTCAGTATTTGCAACTTTGTTTTTTTTTTCAGGGCGACCCCCTGTCTCGCCGGGGCACCATCGTGCACAGCTCTGTTAAGAGTCCCACGCTGGCACTAGGACGGTGATCAGCCGCTCCTAACATGGAGAACAGACGCCGTTTCGAGCCGCACCTCCATGATGAACAGATGCTCAGGTTTGGTAAAGCATTTCCTCTATCACCGTACTATGGTTACCGCGCCAGTGTTCGCGTCGCACCTCTTCACCTTGCTAGTGCCGGACTGGCAACATTACCCAGGCTACGCCACCCAGCTGTGTCCATGTTTCAGCTGGTAGTCTTTTGTTATCATATGACTCGAGGAGGCGTGAAGTAGGAACTTGTGAGGACCAGAGCTAGGTATTCCGCCCCTTCCAGGTTGTCAACTCACCATTATGTAACCCATTCCGAATTAATTTGATTCAATCACAAACAAAATTAACTCCAATAATTTAGCTTATATGCATGATAAAAAATAGCAAATTTATTGTTAAATCAAAAACTGAAGCGAAAAAGTACATTCAATTGTGTTTTACGCGATTTAATTTTATTTTCTGGGTACATAAATGTTAATAACAATGATTTTTTGTGTGATGTTTTGAAGCAAGTTGCATTCAATTTAGTTGTAATTTAAGATCACAACATCAAAAATAATAAAAAAAATGCGTGGACACAGAATTGACTGTCAGTTGAATGGGAATGGGAATGGGACAATTAGTATACTGAGTGTCATGATTTTTCAGTACTTTAAATGCGCTCATTATGCCGATCATTTCAAAAGGTCCTATCTGCATTGATCGATTTTGTTCATCGACTTTCTCTTTCGTTAACTGCCTATTGTTCTTGAGTTTTTGCAACTAGATAATAACCTCCTTTATCAAACTAATTTATAAAACGATTATTTTTGATAAGCTGACGAAGAACCACGTGCACACTGATAACAGTTAGAGTTTGTTAGACTATCTTTAATCTCTGGGGACTACTTTTTTGTCCCTCTCCAGGCTTTGTCGGAACATGTTTGCTTGCTCCAGAGACGAATTGGGTGGAAATACTTTCCAAAACATATCCAAGGTAGACATCAAAAGAGTGATAGAGGAAATAGGGAATTTCGTGTTTAAAATAATGGACTAAAACCACAAACGAACTTCGTTTGTGCTAAAACTGAGTTAGCTTAATTTAATTTAGTGTATTCATGTTTCGTTTGTGGAAAGTGAGAAGATTAGGATAACGGAGTGGATTAAACGTCACCTGTCGCAGTACTCGTTCCTTGGCGATGCATCGGAAGGCTGGCAGACATCGGTGGATTCGTACGACGTGTTCTCCTTGATGTGTTGGGTTCTCTAGCTGCACACGGCACATCGCTGATGGCGTTGATTAGCCTCTGGAAGGCGGCACTTGGGCGATGGCGTCGGTTAGCCTCTGGAAAGCTACTGGCTTCTTGAGGTACATCGGACACGCAGTCTTGGTCCCATTCCTAAAATGAGGGAATTTGGAAAAAAGTTCGATAGTATTAATTGGCAGGTTTATGCAAGAAAGGAGAGTAGATTTGAAAGGCCAAATGGTCAAGTCGAGGAAATCAGTCAGCATAATCAATACCGAGGTGGGAATGGATTAAACAATAGATTTCCATCAGGGTACACAGGAGGATACCAAGGACGAAATTTTAACCCAAATTTTAAACCCGGAGGTAAACAAATTCCACCTGAGAGGAACAAAATTCAGGGTGAACATAATCAACAGAAATTTCAACCAAAACAGAAGCCAATCCAGCAGAACAACCAAAATCATCAACGAAGACAGGAAAACCCAAAACCAGGTCCGAGCGGTACCAGTGCGTTACAAAGGATTGTAAAAGCATACATTCCGATAAAACGTAGTTTATGTTTTAATTGCCACGAGGAGGGGCACAGTTTTCATGAGTGTGAACAAGAACGCCACGTCTTTTGTGAGAAATGTGGTTTTCCAGGGTTCCCCACGAATGACTGCCCATTCTGCGAATCAAAAAACGCCAAGAAGACTGCTCAATGAGGCAGAGCAGTCAAATCGTCTCCGAAAGTCCTCAACACGTATCGCCGGAAGATCCAGCATCCAGTCTCCAGGAATTAGGATACTCAATCGTGGAAGGACGTGCCACAATGCGGGAGGAGATAGCAACATTGCTCGTCAAGCTTAGTGGAGACGCCCGGCCATTTACAAGGATTGAATTGATGGGGATTGATGTGATTGGGCTTCTAGACAGTGGAGCAGCACGGACGGTTCTAGGGATCGGAGCGAGCAAAATCATGAAAAAACTTAATTTGAAGCTTCAACCAACTTCAGTCAATTTGAGGACAGCAGCTGGGGATGAGCTAGAAGTCCAAGGATGTGCAGACATTCCAATCACATTCAATGGCACTACGAAAATTTTGCCTGTACTAATCGCTCCGAATCTAAACCGTAGGTGTGTGCTAGGCTACGATTTTTGGCTAAAATTTGGGATTAGACCAACTATTCGAGATGATCCAGTTGAGATCTTAGATGATGGCGTTAGCAGGGAAGTAGAGATGGAGGATGAGCTAACGGAGGAACAGAAGATACAACTGGAAAATGTGAAAAAGGAGTTTTTAGTCGCAGAACCTGGAAATTTCGGAGCAACGAACCGAATAATACATACGATCGAATTGAAGGAGGAATTTAGGGAAACAGATCCGGTTAGAAAGAATCCGTATCCATGGAGTCCAGTGATACAGCAGAAAATTCACGGAGCACTGGACGACATGATTAGAGATGGGATCGTTGAGCAATCTAACTCAGATTGGGCTTTACCAGTAGTACCTGTTGCAAAGAGGGACAGTCAAGAAGTAAGACTATGCTTAGACGCCAGAAAATTGAATGAGAGGACCAAAAGGGACGCTTACCCATTACCGCACCAGAACAGAATTTTGAGTCATTTGGGGCCGGCCAAATATTTGACGACCATTGACTTATCGCAAGCCTTTCTACAGATTCCGTTGAGCCCGGACTCTAGAAAGTACACTGCCTTTTCAATCCCAGGTAGAGGGCTGTTTCAATTTACAAGGCTTCCGTTTGGGTTGGTAAACAGTCCTGCTACTCTGAGTAAATTGATGGATCGTGTGCTAAGTCACGGTGCTTTAGAACCAGCAATATTCGTTTATTTAGACGATATTGTGATTGTCAGCCAAACTTTCGAAGAGCATATTCAAAAACTTCAAGACCTAGCGAAGCGTTTACGAGAAGCAAACTTGTGCATAAATGTAAAAAAAAACTAAATTTTGCTGCAAAGAATTGCCGTATCTTGGGTACATTTTGTCTCAAGATGGATTACGGCCTAATCCAGATCGTGTACAGGCGATCTTAGGATATCAGGTTCCGAAATCGGTTAGACAACTTCGTCGATTCCTCGGTATGATCAATTACTACCGTAGGTTCATCGCAAATTATAGTGAAATTACAGCACCTCTCACTGACTTATTGAAAAATAAGCCAAAGAGCAGCAGCTGATAATGCATTTCAGGTCATCAAGGAGAGACTAATATCTGCTCCTGTGATGGCCAACCCGAATTTTATGCTTCCCTTTACGGTCCAAACGGATGCAAGCGACAACGCTATCGCAGGGGTCTTGACGCAGGTGCATAATGGGGAGGAGAAGGTCATAGCGTACCACTCCGAAAAGCTCAAGGGAGCGGAGTTGCACTACCACGCGGCAGAAAAGGAAGGACTCGCTGCGCTCCACTGCATAGAAAAGTTTAGAGGTTATATAGAGGGGAAGAAGTTTACTCTTGTGACGGATTCCTCTGCCTTGACTTTTATAATGCGAGCGAAATGGCGGTCTTCCTCACGGCTCAGTCGCTGGAGCATCGAACTTCAACAACATGACATGGAGATCCGTCATCGTAAAGGGAAAGAGAATATTGTTTTCTTGTTTATTGGTACAAGAAACTGTTAGCAACAGTGAAGGAAGATCCTGAGAAGTACTTAGACTTCAAAATTGTAGATGGTGTGTTCCAACTTCAAAACGAACCCAGATCCTGAAACAGGAACACGACCAAAATCTCCACATTGGATACATAAAATGTGTTGAGAAAATCAAACGAAAGTTTTACTGGCCTCGCATGAGCGGCGATATTAAAAAATATATCGCCAACTGCGAGCTATGCAAGGAAAATAAACACTCTACCGTGTCGACAGCTCCGGAAATGGGGAAGCAGAGGATTTCTTCACGACCTTTTCAAATAATTTGCATGGATTACATCCAGTCCCTTCCCAGAAGCAAGCAAGGCAACGCGCACTTATTGGTGGACATGGACCTCTTTTCTAAGTATTGCTTACTTGCTCCTGTTAAGAAGATCTCGACGGTCTCGCTGTGCAAAATATTAGAGGAGCAATGGTTTAGGAAATTCTCTACACCTCAAATCGTCATCACGGACAATGCAACAACTTTCTTGTCGAAAGATTTCCATAATCTGCTTGAGAAATATGATGTTCAACATTGGGCGAATGCTCGCCATAGGAGCCAGGCAACTCCGGCTGAACGACTCAACAGAACGATTAACGCAATGATTCGTTCATACGTAAAACATGACCAAAAACTTTGGGACACGAAGATTTCGGAGATGGAATTCGTACTGAATAATACGATCCATACGACGACCAAATTCAGCCCATATTGCGTAGTGTTTGGTCACGAAATCATCAGCAAAGGATCTGAGCATAGACTGGAGGCGATCACAGAGCAAACCGAAGAGCAGAGAATGGAAAGGTGGAGAGGTGTAAACAAAAGGATCAGTGAGTTGGTAAGAAATCATCTCCAGAAAGCTCATGAGGACACGAAGAGACGATACGATCTCCGACATAAGCGTTACTCACCAACGTTTGATGTGGGTCAGCGTGTGTATAAACGGAGTTTTCGTCAGTCGTCTGCTGGAATCCAATTCAACGCGAAGCTGGGACCTCAATACACACCATGCGTCATCCTCCGGAAAGTCGGTACCAGTTCGTACGAGGTGTCGGACTTAAACGGAAAATCGTTGGGTGTATTCTCAGCTGCGGATTTAAAAGCATAGTTCCCTAAAAAAAAAGAAAAGAAGAATAAGAGCTCTAAATCACATCATTTCAATTATGCAATCCAGAAGTTGAAGGTTTTAATGTGGAAAGGGATAGATATTTTAGTGAATAATCATGTTTTAATGTACCTGTCCTTCCATGGTTTAGAAAATCAGCTTCCAAAAATAACAGGAAAACCCCGGGGTAGAAGAACGCAAACCAATGCGTGAGTAACATGAATATTCAGTTGCATCCATATTATATTTGTAAATACGGCCGTATAAAAATAGCAACGTTGTTTAGTAGTTGATTGCGCACTGTAGTTTGATAGTTTTAATCTAGGAGTATTGTAGATTTGCATGTTTACCTACAATTTTAGAAATTATATGATTATTTTCATATTTTAGTTCCCAAAAGGGGATAATTTTCTTTTAATTTGTTTGTTTTGTATTGGTATTCAAAGTCAGAATGTTAAAGCGCACCGTATATCGTCTGTATGTTTCAACTGTCTTGAAAACAAAGTTATAAACAAGTTTTAACTTCGAATACAGTCAGTCAGCAAGCTATTGTGCAGAGATGTATGTGTGTAAATGAGCTGTGTGTTAAAAAATTGTGTCAAGGTCATGATCAAGTCAATATAGTAAAACAATAGAACACCAAATCGATGAGTTTTACTCATATTCTAGCAGATTTCACTTTCGTTATACATACTCACCATTCACATATTGTCACGTGATCAACAAAAGAAGTGCAGAGATGAGCTTCTAGTAAGAAATTTACATGATCAACTAAGCGAAAAATCAAAACCAATGGAAAGATCAATTGGCCAATTTTTTTAATAAAAATCTATCATGATATGAAGATTTTTCGCAGCCGGCAAATCAAATAATTTCTTATTAAAACCTCATCATTACTTACCACATGTTATCATCATCGCATCAGAATCACTATTGACAGCAGTTTGACAATGTTTCTAAGAAGACCGAACCAAGATCACGCACACAGATAAATCAGTGATAACGTTATCTCGAAAAACGTACTAGAACACAACTCCGACAAGTCGCGTGAAATGTTTCGTGCACCATTCGCATGACTCAATTATTGTATATATGCTCCAAGTTATTAATATTTTGTTTTGATTTAAAAATTGATAGTAAATGGAATATTGCATGTAGTAAATAGTTATGTTATAGTAAATATCTTTTTAAACAATCGGTGAAAATTTAGCTAATTTGTTTCGAGGTTACTAGGTGTAAAAACCTATGTATTTGATCGCTGGAGACCGGAGTCTATGAACACTGATGGTCAGTATTGATATAATGTCATAAAATTGAGAGGAGTTGATTAAGTTCAACGATGAAAACTTATGACCCCGATACTCGATGATTAATAGCAACCTTCACATACTTTTTATTTTTGTATAGTCATCTTAACCCTGTACGTTACAATGTATATATTTCGCAAACTTCAGTCAGTTGCAGTGATTTTGTCCTGGTGATAATATTCTTGTGTTGTGAAGGTTCAGAGGTACGTGTAACCGGGGAAGTCTTGTGAGGTTTGAAGCAAAAATATTTACTTTGTAAATATTTTTACCCGAGCTGAGGGAGAGTGTAAGTGCTAGTGTCTTTGTTTCGAGTATTTTTTAGATTATCGTGGTTTTTTGTTTAGTTCCGTAAAAGTGTAAAAAAAACGGCGGGTAATGTTCGTGCGTGTTGTGCAGTTTTCTCCGTTGTCAAACTCCCTAGTAGGCAGAGGTAGGACAGCTTACTGTAGAACGCAACAATCCACCCCACCGAAAATTACAAAAACCCGCCACCAGATGGACAAACAACTGCCTGTTGGGAGGCCATGGAGGGTGGCGATAGAGATGGCCATTTTGAATGGACGATAACGGGCACGACAAACTGGCGATGAACGACGAATGGCCCGGGTCACTGGCCGACAGCCTGGAGCAGTGACCCAATGACTCACTCAACTCTGAAATTAATAATCACTGATCGTAAGACCACCAGCGAAAACGGTTTATCAAGAAAGCAAGCCAGCTAAATTGACGCAAGTAAGAGTGGAAACAGTGAAAAAGTGTGAGGAGAGAGTCAAGGACAGCAGGTAAACCGCAATAATTACCATTTTGGTTAAAATGGTCCTAATGCCAAATGTATTTGACCATTAGGACCCCGCTGTATTTAGTACAAATCACCTGTACGCAGTGAAGTTCCGGTAGACGTACCGGAAGGTTACACCGTCATTGCCTGCCGGCCGAGTTCGTCACCAACTCACAGGCCCAGGAAGAGTAACCTGGTGCTCGTCATCGCCACCCCGTACAGCAAGCGCGCGAACGAGATACACGACGAGAAAGTGGAGAGGAAGCGGACGTCGACCGAGAACAAGCGGTCGACAATCGAAGACACATAGTGGAGGTGTTGCGAGGGGCCCCGACGAAGAAACCAGGTCAGATAGATTGTAAGAAAGTGGGAGAATAAGGTAGTAAAGAGGGAGAATAAAAGTTCAGGAAAGTGCAATAAATGTCTATTCTTGAGTAGTGAAGTGCTTGTGGAGTTTTTTCTGTGTGTCACGTGCGATCATTCCCTGCCCGCGTAATTGCAATCGGTAAGCGTGCCGACCCTGAGGCCATTGGAGTCAGGGAGTCTCGAAAGTGCTCCTGACTGAGGTGGCTGACACTTACAAATGTTAGTCCCAAACATCATCTGTTGGTTCTCTGTGTAATTACAGCTGATCTGGTAATAACAGAGCAGCAACTGTGGGCGTTTAATCATGCTATTATATGTATAAGTTCATTATATAGCGTTCTACTAAGTTTTATAAAAATTTCTAATTTCCTTAGATTGAGTTTGTCTTCAAATTTGACTAAAAGGTTTTTAATTTGAGTATAAGTTTCTTTTGCTAAATCCAAGCGTTTTAATAATGTTATAGGTTTAAAGTTTCTATAGGGATTTTTGGTAAAATTAGTTTTAAGTTTGGTCAATATGAGGATTTGCTCTTCTACTTGACTTTCAATGTTCATAACCACCTCATGTTTCAAATGTATAGGTTACAATTTTAAGCTTATAACTTTTAAAACAATGCATTCTTATAGACGTAAATACCTCATTGTGGCGGAGGCGCTCTCCTCAACGCTCACTTCTTCGCTGCGTTGTAGTTGCTGCTAGTTGTGGTGGAGGCGCTCTCCTCAACACTCACTTCTTCACTGCGTTGAAACTGCTGCTAATTGTGACGGAGGCGCACTCCTCAACGTTTACTTTTCGCTGTGTTGGCTGCTGATGACAGGAACGCGCACCTCAAAGCACTTGATTTACGGTGTTTTCATAGGATTAACCCGAGAATTTCTCCTCCAATCTTGTGATGGATCGCCTCTCGATGCGATATCACTCCCTTTGACGTTGTCATTAATAAATGCCCTTCTTCGTTGTCTAGTAACATGGCACTCTAATGTTTCATTCTTTTTCACTCTAATTGTTTGTGCTTCGACTTTGTTAACCCCTTTAATTGTCTTCACTAGGCACGAGTTATTGTAGTCCTTGATTTTTCTAATCTTCTTTGTATTTGTAATAATTGTTTCACGCTGCATTTTCGCACTTCTATTATCATTGATATATTTGTGACTCTAGACTGCTCTAATCTTTTTAGAGTTGCTAGGATTATATCTCTTCCCATTTTCACTTCTAAAAAGTATTCATTGTTCACGTTTATCCGATTTTATTTCCACATTGTGTCACTTTATGTGTTCGTTGTCAAGGTTTGTAACCTTATTATTGCGTTTGCCGCCTGTTCTGATTAATGGCGTTTATGTGCGTTAAACACTTTTAAAATTGCGTATGTTATGGCAACGAATGCCAATACGGAAAACGCCACTGTTTTTAGGGTGTCGTGGGCACTACCCTCAATGGTTACTAGTTCATCCGAACCAGCCCATTTCTGTTTTTTGACGTTGGATAACGTCTTTCGGCAACATACGGGGGTACAAAATTGAAAACAGTCATTTTGGATGCGTTAAGAAAAATTAAAAGATTTTGAACGATAATAACTCAACCGTATCTCGATAGATTTACGAGATAATGGCATCAATCGATTGGAAATATTTCTAGCAATTTGCTGAATGTTTCAAAACTATTGATTTCATTCTGTAAACTATTGAAAAATGGTTAAAAGTAAACCATTGTCTAAAGATGGTGAAAATCGATTGATTTTTTTTATATTCTTATACTTTCTCCAACCGAGACATCAGATGCGAGTATCTGACACCTCTGATATTTTCTGTTCTACTATATAAGCGTCCAACAAGGTCGCCCGTTCCATCATTGTCTATCCGATCGTCGACCCAGCAGCAGAGCAGCGTGGAAAGCAGTACCAGAGCAGCGGAAGCAGAGCAACGGCAGCAGAGCAGCGGCAGCAGAGCCTGGGGGCGAAAGGGCAACTACGCCGAGTGCGTTGGTGCCAGTGCTCCGGTATACTGGGCCGCCGTCATGGAATGCCCAGCTGCTGCAGTTCTCAGTCGGTCGTATTCACCGTCTGCTACGCAAGGGCAACTACGCCGAGCGCGTTGGAAAAATTGCCCTTTTCAGGGCCACAACATTATCAAGAAAGAGTTTAACGATTAATTTTCTAGGGTGGTGTACAAGGGAGTACCCAGCACAATCATGGGCATTGGCTCCAAGCAATATTTCATCAGATTCCAGACAAATCTGTTCGATAGTAATTAGAACAGAAAATAAAAAAAAAAAGGAAAAAAAAAAAAATTAAAATATGGTTCAGATTAATACCTGGCTGAATAAAGATACACATTACCATTTATTATATAAGACCACGTAGTCCTACGACACCATTGCGTACAACCCCATAGGGCTGTCCCTTGTAGTTGGAGGGTGGTGTACAAGACACAACCGCATTGTTGACGTAGGACTACGAAATTTTTTACGGTTCAGACTCCCTTGTACACCACCCTCCAACTACAAGGGACAGCCCTATGGGGTTGTACGCAATGGTTACGTAGGACAACGTGGTCTTAGGGATGGTCCATTAATTATGTCACGCAAATTTGGCCCATTTTCAACACCCCCCCCCCCCTACCCCCTTTGTCACATTTTTTGTATGTACCTTATGGCTCGTCACAGTTTTCAAAACGTGTTGGAAAAACGCAGCAAGAAGAGGAAGAAGAATCGAGGCTAGTCCGATGGTACGATTGGTCGAGACGACAACTCTGCGACGAACGGAGATTTCGGTGACGCTTCCGATAAAAAAAATGCTGCCGACATGAGCGCGGCAAGAGTGAAGCTACCTCCGCTGGTAGTGAAAAATGCCCATCTCAACGAGCTCATCGCGGATCTGGCGTCGCTGGGCGTCAAAGCCGAATTCAAATTGGGCAGAGTCGGCACTGTGGTAGAGTGACTCACATTTACATATATGTGTGAGATGTGCGGTGGTTCTCCTGATGTTCTTTTGGTAGAGTGAGCAGTCTTACTCAGTATGGCATGGTGTTTGGTTCGTCTACCTCGGCTATAGTTTACCGCGTGTGTATGATCTAACCAGCTATTCAGTTACCACAAGATGGCGACGAGGTGTACGAATCCTCAGCAGTGAAATTAAATCCCGTAAGAAAAAATATTACAGAAAAAAGTCAGTGCGATTCGGCAATACCTAGTAGTGGAAGTTTTCAGGTAAATTAAATTTGAAGATAATTGCATCACCAGTAGTGTTTATCTCAGAATTTATAATTCGGTGAAGGAAAAAAAATGAAAATGGCGTAATGAAGTGAAGGAATGCTAGAAAATGCTATACAAGCAGGAAAAAGCTCCAGAAAACGCCATTTTGAAACATTGGTTGTGTCTGTAATTGAAGAAGGAAATGATCAATTTAATAAAAAAAAAGTGTTGATAGTGCGACTATGGAAACGCTGATAATTGCTACAGCGGAGTGCAAGAGAAACTAAATTGTTCTTTATAATGGTAAAAAAAAAAAATTATGAAATAAAATTGCCCGCGGTACCATCAGTCATTAAGAAAATTAGAAGCGATTATGCCCCCGAAGCCATTTTGAATAAAGTGCTTGGTTGAGTATGTATAAGAGTGTGCAGAAAGT